AGAAAAGTCAAAAAGGGTACAAAACTATAGAAAAGTCAGTAAGGTGCAGAACTATAGAAAAGTCAAAAAGAGTACAAAACTATAGAAAAGTCAGTAAGTAACAAAACAATAGAAAAGTCAGAATGGATATAAAACTATAGAAAAGTCAAAAAGGGTATAAAACCATAGAAAAGTCAGAAAGGATACAAAACTGTAGAAAAGTCAGAAATGGTACAAAACTATAGAAAAAAATAGAAATTCAAAAGAATACAATAAACATACCATTAAACACATATACATAGATATAAACATACCACTAAACACATATACATAGATATAAAACATACCATTAAACACATATACATAGATATAAAACATACCATTTAACACATATACACAGATATAAAACATACCATTAAACACATATACATAGATATAAACATACCACTAAACACATATACATAGATATAAAACATACCATTAAACACATATACAACAATATAAAACATACCATTAAACACATATACACAGATATAAAACATACCATTAAACACATATCCATAGATATAAAACATACCATTAAACACATATACATAGATATAAAACATACCATTATTTCATACCAAAATTTGTATTTACTAATCATATAAAACTAGTGTTAGATACATAATGTATTTTGAAATAGAAAATGAATCATCTGACCTACACCATCGCTCTCTACACGTGTAGACAGCGTAGGTGAGCGTGACTCCTGGATATCGAGGATAGACATACCCCTACCCAGAGAGGATTGACCTACCCCTACCCAGAGAGGATTGACCTACCCCTACCCAGAGAGGATGGACCTACCCTACCCAGAGAGGATTGACCTACTCCTACCCAGAGAGGGTGGACCTTCCCCTACCCCTACCCAGAGCCGATTGACCTACCCCTACCCAGAGAGGATTGATCTACCCCTACCCAGAGAGGATGGACCTACCCCTACCCAGAGAGAATGGACCTACCCCTACCCAGAGAGGGTGGACCTTCCCCTACCCCTACCCAGAGAGGATGGACCTACCCCTACCCAGAGAGAATGGACCTACCCCTACCCAGAGAGGATGGGCCTACCCCTACCCAGAGAGGATGGACCTACCCCTACCCAGAGAGGATGGACCTACCCCTACCCCTACCCAGAGAGGATGGACCTACCCCTACCCAGTGAGAATGGACCTACCCCTACCCAGAGAGGATGGGCCTATCCCTACCCAGAGAGGATGGACCTACCCCTACCCAGAGAGGATTGACCTACCCCTATTCAGAGAGAATGGACCTACCCCTACCCAGAGAGGATGGACCTACCCCTACCCAGTGAGTATGGACCTACCCCTACCCAGAGAGGATGAACCTGCCCCTACCCAGAGAGGATGGACCTACTCCTACCCAGAGAAAATTGACCTACCCCTTCCCAGAGAGGATGGACATACCCCTACCCAGAGAGGATGAACCTACCCCTTCCCAGAGAGGATGGACCTACCCCTACCCAGAGAGGATGGACCTACCCCTACCCCTACCCAGAGAGGATTGACCTACCCATACCCAGAGAGGATGGACCTACCCCTACCCAGAGAGGATTGACCTACCCCTACCCAGAGAGGATGGACCTACCCCTAACCAGAGAGGATTGACCTACCCCTACCCAGAGAGGATGGACCTACCCCTACCAAGAGAGGATGGACCTACCCCTACCCAGAGAGGATTGACCTACCCTTACCCGGAGAGGATGGACCTCCCTACCCCTACCCAGAGAGGATGGACCTACCCCTACCCAGAGAAGGTGGACCTACCCCTACCAGGAGAGGATGGACCTACCCATTCCCAGAAAGGGTGGACCTACCCCTACCCCTACCCAGAGAGGATGGACCTACCCCTTCCCAGATAGGGTGGACCTACCCCTACCCAGAGAGGACGGACCTACCCCTAACCAGAGAGGATGGACCAACCCCTATCCAGAGAGGATGGACCTACCCCTACCCAAAGAGGATTGACCTACCCTTACCCATAGAGGATTGACCTACTCCTACCCAGAGAGGGTGGACCTTTCCCTACCCCTACCCAGAGAGGGTGGACCTACCCCTACCCAGAGAGGATTGACATACCCCTACCCAGAGAGGATGGACCTACCCTTACCCAGAGAGGATTGACCTACCCCTACCCAGAGAGGATGGACCTACCACTACCCAGAGAGGGTGAACCTATCCTTACCCATAGAGGATTGACCTACCCCTACCCAGAGAGGATTGACCTACCCCTACCCAGAGAGGGTGAACCTACCCCTACCCAGAGAGGTTGAACCTACCTCTACCCAGATAGGATGGACCTACCCTTACCCATAAAGGATTGACCTACCCCTACCCAGAGAGGATTGACCTACCCCTACCCAGAGAGGATGAACCTACCCCTACCCAGAGAGGGTGAACCTACCCCTACCCAGAGAGGATGGACCTACCCTTACCCATAAAGGATTGACCTATCCCTACCCAGAGAGGATTGACCTACCCCTACCCAGAGAGGATGGACCTACCCCTACCCAGAGAGCGTGAACCTACCCCTACCCAGAGAGGTTGAACCTACCCCTACCCAGAGAGGATGGACCTACACCTACCCAGAGAGGATTGACCTACCCCTACCCAGAGAGGTTGAACCTACCCATACCCAGAGAGGATAGACCTACCCCTACCCAGAGATGATTGACCTACCTCTATCCAGAGAGGATTGACCTACCCCTACCCAGAGAGGATTGACCTACCCCTACCCAGAGAGGATGGACCTACCCCTACCCAGAGAGGTTGAACCTATCCCTACCCAGAGAGGATTGACCTACCCCTACCCAGAGAGGATGGACCTACCCCTACCCAGAGAGGGTGGACCTACCCCTATCCAGAGAGGATGAACCTATCCCTACCCAGAGAGGATTGACCTACCCCTACCCAGAGAGGATGGACCTACCCCTACCCAGAGAGGGTGGACCTACCCCTACCCAGAGATGATAGACCTACCCCTACCCAGAGAGGATGGACCTACCCCTTCCAAGAGAGGGTGGACCTACCCCTACCCCTACCCAGAGAGGATGGACCTACCCCTACCCAGAGACGTATAACATATACTTCTTTTTCCTACCCCGTTGTGTAAATTATGCTGTAATGATAAAAATCGTATTGTTTCTTTGCATTCGACAAAAAAATATTAAGGTTTTTGGATGTTGTTACTGAAACAAAAGTCAATCAAACGTCACTAGAGCCTGACCATCAACTCCCCAAAATAGAGCACTTTTGACTCTTTGGCTACTGAGAATCAGTGTAATGGTGATGTGAAAACAAGTTTCATTAACATCGGTCTAGAAGGTAAGTAGGGGTACTTGTGACAAACTTTATTTAAGGACATCAGAAAAGACACATGACATAACAATAAAAATGGTCGGATCGAAACATCAATCGCACAACCTTAGTATTGGATACAAGGAAACAAATATGTCGCTTAAATAACCGTAGACGCAGTATTTTACCTGTGCACGCTAGCATTTAGAGCCCAAATTTCAAAAGAAAACCCCTAGCAAATAACATTTTGAATCTTCATATATTATGAATTATATGATTTCATATAATTGTGTTTATTGATTTTGTATGTCCTGAACACCTCCCTGTTTCTCTGTAATTCTTTTATTGTAGAATTACTTACTCATTATACTACTTCAGCTTTATATACAAGCCCAGATTACTCCAGATATCTATTTGTTACATTTATTTGAGAACTGATGCGGTGAACATGCTAATGTTATGCATATGACCCTTTAGTGCCCCTTAATAATTAGTAGTCAACCAATCAAGATAACCCTCTCCATCACGTGACCTGGTTAATTAGTAGTCAGCTTCAGTTGTAAAAATTTCCATCTGAGAGACTGACGTACTTACTTCATTACAATTATCTCTTCCTTATTATTTTGTTTATACTGGGACTATTCCTACGACTGTGTTTTCCAAAAGACTATATCATATCGTAGTGGAACTGGACTAGTCTGCTGGCTTTTTTGCGACCATTGAAGAGCTCAAATTGTCGTAGTTCGAGAGTCAACTTCTTCACAATGGTTCCGCCAATTCCGTGTTGACTCTAGTTGTGTATCACTACGTTATATCGCCACTATGCCTAGACCTGCCATACATCGTAGTTCAGCTACAGCTAGTAGGCAATCTTCCACTGAACGAAGACCCGAGGACCACGTGAGTTTACCAGAGCGTGGCGACATAAACATCAACAATGAAGGGCAAGGTAACTCAGAGTCGGACAGTTCGCGCGCTCGTGATCGCCATCACCCATACCGAGACGTTTCGTGGAACATGGATAATCCCGGCAACTGGACTGTTGCAGAACTAAAAGATCGACTTTGGGAAGACTGTGGGATAAAAGTACCCCGTGGGAGCATTTCAAAGGTAACTTTAGAATCGTGGTACATAGAGAATATGGGATCTACATCTTCGTCGCGTACTAACACTGTTACTTCAGTTACCCAAGCTACACTAGCGACACCACCGGTGCCTACAACTGCTACTCATATCAATGCGCCAGGAAGTAGTTCCGGAAGTGACACAAACAACATGGCCGCTCTCCTGTCAACACTGAACAACGTCACTCAGTGTTTCTCGTCTCTACAGGACACAGTTAGGCAATTGACCGCAGAGAAAGGCGAGAAAAGGCAGAACTTCAACCTCGGGAACTGGTACGTCTCCAATAGAGCGGATACTATGGTATCTCCACAAGAATTGCAAGTATTTAGCCCACATCCAACCGCGAACAGTCCGGGTTCCGGCATACGTTCTGATTCCATCACAGCTGTAGACATAGTTTCACCATCCCTGCAGCGCCAAATAACAGAAGGTAAGGATGTAAACCTCGCTTCCTTACTGATTCCGAATTATGATTGCCCACAAAATCAAACTGTTGTCACGGACAATATAGAGTTCAATCTGATGAGCAAACCTGACCCCCAATTGAACCGTCAACTTACTATACAGGAGTTCATTAAAGCCTTCGGGAAATACAAACGTGTAATGTGTAACACTTACCCTAAACGACAGCAAGAGCTCGATGCCTACCAAGACGATATCATCGAAATTTCAAATTTTTACCACACAAAATTTTTCGACTACCACAAAATGTTTAGTGCTAAAGCAGCGGCTATACTCAAAGAGAAACATATCAAGGTAGATTGGAGCAAGAGAGACAGAGATTTGTTAGCCCTT